TCTCTGGGTGCTAACGTATTTGCAGAGGACCACGCGGCGCGCGATGACTCATCCGCTCTTCTGCTCCCTCCTCTGCAAAATAGAAGTAATTTCATGTTTAGGGCATGGATTCAACACCGCCCTAAGGTGCCGTATTCAAAAGGTAAATCAGTTAATGATGAAAAGTGCGAAGAAACAACTGTAGGCTGGAGGATTCTTGCCTGATCTACAAGGGAATTGATTCCGGCCTAGGTAAACCCTTTTGACTGTGTAAAAGTGAAAGCGACACAGTTAAATAAGTTGGATGCTCCGCAGAATCTGAAGAGAAATCTACTCCAATAGCCCAAAATCTTGTAGTCGTCGGTTTCGCCGCTTTCGTCGCTTTCGCCGCTTTCGTCGCTTTCGTCGCTTTCGCCGCTTTCGTCGCTTTCGTCGCTTTCGTCGCTTTCGTCGCTTTCGTCGCTTTCGTCGGTTTCGTCACTTTCGTCGGTTACGTCGGTTTCGTTCGTCGAATCGATAGGTATGTATCTTCGTGAAGTAGTCGTCGGTTTCGTCCCTTACGTCGCTTTCGTCGAATCGTCGCTTTCGCCGGTTTCGTCCGTTACGTCGGACGTATACAATCTTCGGGAACTAGTCGTCGGTTACGTCGACGTTGACGACGCCGTCGCACGGTATGAACGCAGCCTTATCCTAGAGCATCTTGACATCGGTCTTGGCCCAGCAGGACTATCAGCCCTATCTTTTTGGAATTTCGATCGAAAACCTCGCGCTCTAAACCCTCGTTGGCCCGACAAAAAGACAATGTTTCAACAATGTTTCACTAAGAAAGAACTGAATACCTTCTCGATTCTCCTATAGCGTCTTTACTTGCGTAAATAATGAATTCGAGCGTCTGCTAAGCCCTTATACGCGTACCCCCACCTAAGGATGTCATTTCTCAAAAGAGCCAGGTCCGCGTTCATTTCATGTTCAGGCGCCTCATTTGGATATATTAGTCAAGCATGGAAGATGTTCTTTTCTTCACATCTCAAAAATACGTGAGAAGAGCGCCGCCCGCTTGGGATGAGGCCACGGCCCCGCCCACTGGCCACGATAATACCTAACCTTCCTTTCTAAAGGCTTTTCGATGTTGTTCCGCCACTAGCTCTCCATTTCGGATGTTGAAAGTGAGGCTATAAGAAGGAGAAGGAGCTGACACCAACAAGTGAGAACTCGTCCGACCACGCCCTTTCTTCGCCCTGTGCACGTACAAGCGCGGCTCACCATGGGGTTTTATATAGGGCTGTTGAGGCGGTTTTCGAGGCTTGTTCTTCACCTTTGTATTCCTTCCGTCTTGTCTAGAGTATTTGAGCCCCACAAATCACCATTTTTGTACGCAAGGCGTGCCTTTAAGTTCGATAATTAACTTCAGGTCGATCTTGGTCGTTATCTTTATACTGATGACACTGTTGGGAACATGTGAGGCTAGTAAATGCCAAAAATGGAAGAGGAGAAAAGGAGGCGCCTGCTACAAGGTTCATTTTTTCTATATTTCTCGTTCGCAGGTAATGACAAATGTCAAAAAACAAACGCTTGCTGATTCACTGGCGCAGAAGGAAAGCTATACAGATGGGTCGTCACGTAGATGGGAAGTAGCAAAGTGCTAAATGCCCCCCCGTTGCGAAAATGCCCCGAATCCAATCATATAACCTGAGAGACATCCCGATGCACTTCTTTTACACTTTTTGCCTAATTGAGATCTATTCCTTCCCGAATCATAGCGCCTCCTATCTCCATACGGTTTCAAACATCATCTAGGATAGGGCGCGGAAGAGACATGCGAATCAGATCACGTTCACCTTGGGAAATTCCCGGCGGGGCGGGGAAGGAGGGGGTGGGGACGGTAATTAGGTCGCGTTATGGCGCGGGTGGCGTGTGCGGCCACCTTATATTCAAGACCTGGTCAAATGCGGGGTGAGAGTTGCCGGCTATTTGCTCCGAAATCACATTTTTTCTACGCAGTGCTGAGCTTTGCTTGTTTCACCGAACTTTCCCGAACCCTCCCCGCCGTCGCCCTGAAGGGTGGGTGCTGCCAGAGTTCTTTACATCCACTATTTTCTGATAGTTGACAACTAGTAAGTTGGTGTGCTGACGCGGCGATACTCTCACTTCCGCGTGTGGCGGGACTCGCGAGCGGACGGGCGCTCCCCCCCCCCTATCTCCACTGCGATCGGACACGGCAAAATTGGATGAAATTTGCTAAAAATTTTTTTGGGGAAGTGTCCGACTGGAAAAAGCGGTAAGAAGTTGGGAAGTCGCGAAAATCCACGAAAGTGGTAGGCAAATTGGGGAAGGGGAGGATTATTCAAGTTGGGGGGGGGGGGGATCAGAGGATGGGGTAGTAATTCTTCCCAGCGGCAGAACGTGCCCTGGTGCGCTTGCACTTATGGTCGTCTATTACGACAAGATGGGTGGACTCTTATAAGTTGCAAGTTCTTGGCTGCCTTACCACATAAATTTGTGTGGCGAAGGAGACAAGGCCTACAGTTGAGCACCTGCACTTATTGCACAGGAGAGGACGTTCATCCGACATCCGAGCGACTGAGGACTGTGACTTTAGGTGCATTACCGTCACTCAAGCTGAGTATCTCCACTGATGATAAAGAATGCTTTATGCGAAATTAAACCTCTGAATTATCCAAATTTATTCTGAGATTTTCAAGTTATGCTATGAGCCAACGACATTTATCGAGGCTGAACGTCAGTGTCGACGTGCAAGAGGACATCTCGCTTCTATTCATAATGCCAAAGAGATGCACTTTGTGTTTGGTACGATCTTTTCCGCTTTGGGCTCATTTACTCGGGGGGGGGGGAACTGATATTGCCGCGTGCATCTGTGCCACTACATGTACACTGGCTAACCAGAATTAGCTACAGACGTTTACACCAAAGTCAGTCAGGGTGCGTCAGCGTCACGTAGGTTTTGGCGCAGCACCAACCCGTTAGCTATTGATTGGTGCAACTTTGGGAGTTGAGTGAGTGGTGGGTAGGAGGCTGGCGCCGCGCAAAAACCCATGTACCGCTGACTGCTTCTGGTGATAGCGACTGAGTGGAATTTTCTTCAAAAAACTTTTCAAATCTCGAATAATATTTTTGGTGAATGAAGCGACCAAATCTGCTGACAAAACCGCACAGAGATCCTCAGAACAAATAAGTTCTACCTCTCACAACTAATTGATAGTAAGGCCGTCACGCAAACGCACGCGGCAGTGTGTGCGAAGTTCTCTCGCCTCTTGGAGCAGGAAAAGTTCTCAAACTGTGTTCATGGTTCGGTCTCGGGCAACTGTGGCCGATAGCACTCCATCGCTACTCGTTGCACCGTTGCAACTTCTATCTCGATCGCACTCTCCGCGACTTTTCCATCACGCATTGCATTCATCGGACTTCACAGCTAAACAGTGGAATGTGCTTTGGGAGGCCAGTCTGCAATATTGCCAAACGCCTCAAGCCTGCTTTCGCGATTTTAGGGAGAGGAAATTACTGTTAGCGCTGACGCAAATTACACACCTCCCTAAGCTCTTCTAATTCACCTGGTATTGGGCGAAGCGTCGGAAATATTCCAGTCTAAAAGTGATGGAATTTCAAGCTGCAGCAGTCCAACGATTAGCAGTGGAGCGTTTTCGGTCACAATCGCTCGTGTTGCAAAGTATAAACACAACTGGACACAGCCGGTAATTTTCAGAGATGGGAAGGCAGTACCGTGTACTTGCAAAAAGAAAAGGTGAAAAATACCCGCCCTGGTCAGTGTGGATAGGAATGGCAGAGATTGACCACGTTTGGCAATGGACCGACGACAGTGTGATCGACTTTTTCGAGTGCCCTCAGTGTGATTCACTCTCTTCGGACGAAGGACCATATTGTGCCTTTGTTCGTAAATTTTCAGATTACAAGGGGTTCTTCAATGCTTTGGCAAAGCTCATTCCTATTCATTTCAGATAGAGCTGACCCGTCGTATTTATAGACGTAAATGGAACAAGCAATTATGCACAGAAAAAACAGCGTTTGTATGTCAGAGGGACAGATGTTAAAACTAGCATATTTGATGCTGAATTGAATGAAATTTTCAGAATTTTCGTTGTCTCTCTCACTAATCTCAAAATTTCCGCGAAAAAAATTTTTTCTCCTCACCTGATATTCTCTTGACATCCTTCTGACACCTTAAATGCCCAAAAAAGCCGCACTCTAATTTAGTGAGGAGCCCAACCCCGCCCACCTCACAGGCTCCGCCCACTTCCAGCGACAACCGAGGACGTGGCACTGCTTGTTTTTATGATATTAAGAAGGAGCATCACACAGATAAGGAAATGTATATAATATTTTTGGTCGTCAGAAAACAGCTGTCCTCTGATAACCTCGGAAGGGGTCTCAGAGGGTTCTTTGTGCAAGATTGGGGTCAACGCCATCCGAATAGATTTACGGTAATTGAAACTGATTCAATCTCTAGTCTAGTACCCCTCCTCGGACTCGGAAAAAGGCTCAATCGTCATCATGATACATAATTCACGTTCTGCTCAAGCATTCCTCAAAATGCCCCCTCCAGTGCCCATCAGCGCAATATACTGCATAACACGACTTTATGTAAAGAAAAGCACGCGAGCAAAAAGTCTCTATTCATCAACCTTTGCAAGAAATGCTCAAGGAACTTAACCTAAACGCAGAGTCAATAAGGAGAACTTAGCCGCTCATACTGAGGTTAGGGGGGGAGGTCGACAGCATGCGAGGTGAGTCATGCTCATTCTCTGCTCGATTCTGCTTTCTAGGATTATGTTGTCCGCGAGGATTTCACTGAGCAGACACTAACTCGGTGGAAGGACGCGGACGCAGACGGGTAGAAAATGGGTGTGAGCAAGCCTCTTGGCCGACTGCGCACGGTTACGTGACATCTTGAACTTTTGTGCGTGGTCCTGTTGCGAAACCTGCAACGCAGACAGATAGAGGGCAGCGGCTGCCAAAGCATCGAAACGTGCAAAAAACATGTAGCGAGCCAGGAAACGGGTTTTTCAGGGGAGGGGACTCCGGGGTGGGTGAACCACTTATAATCCGTGAAAAGCTGGAATGTGCGAAGTCACAACCCACAGAGTGCCATGCGGACGAGAGAGTGCAGAGAAAAACAGAAGATCGACGCGTTTAAAGGGAATGCGTTCAGGGGTGTCCGTAGACCGACCGCGCACCCCCCCCCCTTTAATACGCCCTAGCGCAGTCCATTTTCTGGTCTTCTTTCTCTATTTCCTCATACTTTATCATGTAGTCTAAAGCTCTAACGTAGTCCAAAGGGAAGGCTATGTCAACAGTCTTCCTCTTTCTATGAAGACCTCGGGACGGCTCTAGTCATCAGCGCTCTGCTGAATCTGAACCTTAGCAGGGCAGGCAAGTGCGGCCCGTCCCAACCCCTCCCCTAACTACTACTAACTACTGTCACAGGAACTCACCCTGCAGCTGGAGTGGCATCCAAGAGAAATCTGTTTCAAGATGATTCTTCGTCTCACTC